TTCTTTGAGCCCCTTTTCAAGAAAACACTACAATTATATAGAAAGAGGAAAAAGGGAAGCTTCAGCTACATAATGGTGATCATGCTCCCTCTGCAGACTCATGTAGATCATCAGTAAAAAAAGTAACCAGTACTTAATTAACGATACTTAGCTGGAACTGAACCAAAACATCTGCCATATTTGCAGAACTTTAGAGCTGGAATTGGAGGCTTTAAATTGCAAAAGTGACTGTACAATTGTAAAGCACAGAGTATAAAGAAAGGAGGGATTTGAAGGTTCCATAACTTTATGCACATGGCTGACACTATATTGGATTTTATTAAAGTTTGCTTGCAACTGGGATTATGCCAATTCCTTTGGAGTTGATAGCTTTTTCGCAGTTTCGGATACCAAAAGTGCACGATTGGCTAAGCTTAAATAATTTACTATTAAGTAAATTTTAAAGTGAATAACTCTTTTTTGTTTAAGATGTAGTTGATATTGATTGTTTGACTTTGATTTAGAATAAAATTAGATTAAGAAATTATTTTTGAACTTACTTAAATAATTTTTTGAAAGTATTTTGTCTATTTAGAAATTTTTTTAGATGAAATTGGCTTAAGTAACTTCCTCAAAAAATTCTTCTATAAAAAATATAAGCAGAAATAGAAACACGACCAAAGAAACTTGAAAAGTGGAGCAAGTTTAGTTAAGATATCGGTTTCTCCAACTAAATAATTAGTCAAATCGCAAAAATTGTCAACTTCTTTGGGTTTCTTACAAGAAAAGAATATGAAGGTCCCATTTTATATTAATTTGAATATAAAAATTGACTTCCATAAATAATTGATGAATGTATATGCACTTAAACATTTCCAATAGACTCTCTATTTTTAAAGAGTATATTCTATAATTTGAAAAGTATTTATAAATTTAGAGAGTTAAAATTCTGAAGTACTCCAACAAACTATTTATATTTAATAGTTAATTTTACTATTCTAAAAAAATATTTATTATTTTTGTTTATTTTTTATTTTAACTAGTTTTTCTTTAGATTATTTTATTGTTTTCTGTTGAAAATTGAAATACTTTAAATGCATTTAATTACCTCTCTAAATTAAAATGTTAATTTAAAAAGTCTCTTGAAGCATGATTTTAAATATTAACTACAGAATATTGGCCTCCAATCCCACCCAAATACCGAGCTCAGAAAAACCAATCGACACCAC